ATGGGATCGGGCCGAAACCAGCTCTCTGACACCCCCCGAGGGGTCCCAGGTTGTGAGAGGGTACAGGCCAGGCCGAGGGACCTCACCGGTGTACGTTTGGGGCTGGGGAGGGACCACAGGAGGGCTCCAGGGTGTGTCTGTCCCGTCTCGCTCAGTCCCAATCAGCCAAACCCCAGCAGCGAGCTAACCTATGAGTCAGACCGTAAGCCCCCTGGTGGTTAGTGCATGTCATAGTGACTGGTCAACTGGTCGACTGTCTGCCCCCTGGTGGTCAGTGCCTGTCATAGTGAGCAGTTGAGTGCCCTTAGCATATCATTAGCATATTATGCTTTGATTGGTTGAATGGACCACCAGACACTTAGCATATTAGGCTTTTATTATCTACACTAATAAAAGAGAAAGATGCAAATTGACCATACCTTCGCAATGCCCACCAGACAATCAGGAGTGAGTATGCAAATCAGCGGGACAAAGATGTCAGTGGCCACAGAGCCAGCCAGAGCGAGCGGGAGGCTTGGGTCGCCCTTGGCAATGGAGGAAGCCAAGCTTCCCGCCTGCCCAGGCCAGCTACTGAAGGAGGGGCCTGTGAGCGGAGGACACAGAGCTGGCCTGGGGGCGCGGGAGGCTTGGGTCGCCATTGCCTGGGCTGGCTGCCGAGGGAGGGGCCTGCAAACGGCCCTCAGCCCCTTACCCAGGCTGGCCACGCCCCCATGGGGTGAGGGTCCCCACTGGGGGGCGTGGCCAGCCTGCAAACCGCCATCAGCCCCTCACCCAGGCTGGCCAGGCACCCCGGCGGGGACCCCCCACCCTGAAGGGGGTGTGGCTAGCCTGAAAACAGCCCTCAATCCTCTCACCCAGGCTGGCCACGCCCCCCTAGCGGGGACCCTCACCTCATGGAGGCGTGGCTGGCCTGCAAACTGCCTCAGCCCCTTGCCCAGGCCAGCACCATGCCCAGTGGGGACCCCCATCCCAATGGGGAAGTGCCCGGCCTGCAAACTACCACAGGCTCCTTGCCCAGGCCTCCCCGCTCCCCAAGGGAATCCCCACCCTGATCCGGGACACCCTTCAGGGCAAACCAGCTGGTCTCACCGGCGCACCAGGTCTCTATCTTCTATCTTCTATACTAATAAAAGGGTAATATGCTAATTAGACTGGGAGACCTTCCAGGAGACCTTCTAGATGTTCTTCTGGACAAAGCCATGGTGGCGGGGCCGAGGTAGAGGCGGTTAGGGGCCAAGAGGGGAGGGCAGTTGTGGGTGATCAGGCCAGGATGGGACGTCAGTTGTGGGTGATCAGGCCGGCCGGTGGGGGGGTAGCAGTTGTGGGTGAGCAGGCTGGCGGCAGGGGGGGGGCATTTGGGGGCAAGCATGCCAGCAGGCAGAGTAGTTAGGGGCAATCAGGCAGGCAGGCAGGTAAGTGGTTAGGAGCCAGCTGTCCCGGATTGTGAGAGGGAGTCCGACTGCCAATTTAGACCCATCCCTGTGGGATTGGGCCTAAACCGGCAGTCGGACATCCCTCGAGGGGTCCCAAATTGGAGAGGGTGCAGGTCGGGCTAAGGGGACCCCCCCCCCAGTGTATGAATTTTGTGCACCAGGCCACTCGTATAGGATAACCTTAGAAAATACCTAATTTTTTATTTAAATATTCATTACAGTTTGGATATTTACCTCATTTTTATAGCTAGAAAAATAAATCTATCATGCCGTTTCTTGTTGAAGCAAAGAAAAACGTTTAGAAAGTAACAAGACAATATATTTTTTTCTTAACACATTGCGTACCGCATAGAAATCTCTAAGACATACGCCAGGGACCACACATTTTTGGGCAAACCGCACGTTATTTAAATCATCATAATGCACTTTAGGTGTTGTTTTTCAATAATTATAACATTTTTATTTACAAAAACAATTAAACAATTAAAGTTCCTAGTACTTTTTTAACGTATGGTATTGCGTAAAACATTTTCCTCTATGAAGAGGGACCAAACAAAATTTACATAAATATCTAGATTCTCTCCTTTTTCCATGGGCGTGAAAAACGAGAACACTCGTGAGCGGTCTTTAACAGATGGCGCACGAAACACGAGAAAACTCCTGAGCGGTATGAAATGTGTTAAAGGGTCTCGAAGTTTAGAAACAGGCTGATTTGACTAAACATATGTCATTTCATTTGGAGATAATGCCTACAATATATCACTAATTATATACAAATATCACATATTTAGAGGGACTGATTGTTGCAGACTTTTATTATATTTTTGAAATTCAATTTAATGTGATCATGTGATCCATACTTTTATCTTTTGAGGGTGACTTATAATAACATGTTCAGAGCACACTAGTGCAAGTATTACATTTTTTCCTGTGGTCATCCTTATCAGGATGAATTCTAATATTGCAAATATGTACTAAAATTATACTGGGTTACAGAACTTTAAAGATGTGTACAGCTAGGTGCTATAATGCCACCCAAAATACCTGCCTGAATGAAGAGATGTATACTTTAACACACACTTTTAGAAGTGAGTATATTTCATGAGAGGAATTGTCTATTTTATATGTAATTACAAATCACTTCTGTTTCATCAAACTGTAAAGTGATTTTGAATATGAACTAATATTGGGCAAATAGTAAAGAATGTTAAATTATAGCAGTAAATTCAGAAAGAAAGCCAAGCTGTGATTTTCATGTTTTAAAATGCTGTTTTTTTATGCAATATGGAATAATTCTTATTTCCTCTGAAACTTCGTTCATAAATAATTCTGGTTTGGAATTGTATTTTGAAGAAAGGAAGAAAGTTGTAACATCACATTGGAGTTTTGATTATTATATTGTATAATTACATAATTTCTTATTATATAATATAATTTAGATTTTAAAAAATAATATTCTGCTTTAAAAATTTTCACGAGGTCTTTCTTAAGATTTCTTCTTTCATCTCTAAAATCAGCAATTAAAATCAGTTTCACCTATTTGGCAAGTGGACCACATCTTTTGTTTTTCTCTCCCTGAATTGTGTTTACATTAGCTTTAAACACTTGCCTTGCAGAGAAAATAAACTTCTACATTCTTAGGGAAAACTGTTAAACTAAAAGATCTGACAAAGTAATTCTCAAATGAGTTTAAAGAACTTATGGCTTAAATGAATGTGAATTCTAATTTACTGACTTTGAGCTTGGCTGCTGTTTTTGATTAATTTGCATTTTGTACATTAATTGCTTCCCTCAATCACCTGTCAGATTTATAGTAGGGAAGTTATATTCTCTTAAACCCCACTCTATTATTCATTTAAAGGGAGATAAAAGATCAGTATAGAAAGTTAAGAAGTACACTGCAGTTGGCAAAATATAATAAATAGAATAAGCACATACACTTATATTATTTGTGTGTATATCTGTGTGTGTATGTATGTGCAATATACACATAGCTGAGGATATAGAACCATTGCAACTCAATAATAAAAGGTCAGACAACTGGAGTGTTTTAAAAAATGGGCAAAATATTTGAAAAGATATTTCACTGAGGAAGACATGTGCATGGTCAAAAAACTCATGAAAAGATACTTAAAATCATTAGTCATCAGGGCATTGGAAATTAAAACCATTATAAAATACAACTAGATACCCAGTAGAGTGGCTAAAATTTTAAAATACAATACTAAATGTTGGTGAGGAGGTAAAGCAACTTCACCTTTCAAGCATTGCTGGTTGGAATGTAAAATGGTACCACCACTTTGAAAAAAACAATTTGGCAAATATTTGAAAAGTTAAATATATACTTACACACATGACATCAATTATTTGTCTTAAGGGAAATGAAAATTAATGTCCAAAACTTGCACTCAAATGTTTATAGTAATTTTGCTAATAATATCCAAAATCCAACCCAAATACCTATAATAGACGAATAGATACACCAAATATAGTACATCTGGAACAAAGAAATACTATTCAGTTACAAAAAGGAACAGATTGCTGATACTTGCAATAACATGGGTGAATGTCCAAAACATGATAGTGAGCCAAAGAAGCCAGATACTCTATGACTCCATTTATATGAAACTTTAGAATAAAGATAAATCTAATATGGCCCTAGGGTGAAGTGATTTACTAGAAAGGAAATGGTATATTTTAGTTTGGTGGAAATATTCTATATCTTTATTAATGTGGTGTTTATAGGTTTATTCATTTGTCAAACTTATTGACCTTTACATTTAAAATAGATATATTTGTGTGAATTATACCTGAATAAAGATGAAAATTTTAGTTTTTACAAATTTTATTTATAGTTGATTCTTAAAGGAAAAATAGCTCAATTGATTAAATGAACACCTAAACATAATATCAAAATTAAGTCCTGTTTAAAACTTCAAAACTTCTCCAAAAGAAATGAATTAATTCACCAACTCTCCTTAATTTTAGATTTTCTTTTTAAATCTAAAACTAACAAAACTACATCCCCCCCCTTTTATTTCTTATCTCTAAAGTTTAGTAACTTACCAAAAAGTTAGTGCCTCTACTCTACATATATTTACCCACCTAAGGTATGCTATATCTCAAAAAGTTTTCATGCAGTTTTTGTGTTATAAAGAGGACATTACTATGGAAATCTTAAGTTCAATGGTACAGGAAATTAGGAGTTTGCTGCCATATGTAGAGCATCAAAAGTGTGTATAGTATTGTAATACATCTGTTTTGTTTTTTCCCAAGGTAATAATTTTTTTTATGATCTTTTATTTTTTTTCCTTTCTGTTCCTTTGGGCTGCAGCAAAAATAACTTTGATTGCTCAGCTAACCTCTCCTGCCACCCAGGCCTGCCATTTTAAGTATAGAGGTGATTTTTTTTTTTTTTTTTTTTGAGGCTTCATGGATCCTGACGAGATATCAATCTTGGTCACTTTGTTTCATGGATCCTGAAATATCAATCTTGGTCACTTTTCTTAGCACTTTTTTTTTTACTGAACAGTCTAATTATATTAGTCTTCTTTAACCTTCCTACAGGTTTGTCATTGGGCGAGAAAAACCAGGACAAGTGAGTGAGGTTGCGCAGTTGATAAGCCAGACACTGGAACAAGAAAGGCGCCAGAGAGAGATGCTTGAGCAGCATTACGCCCAGTATGATGCGGACGACGACGAGGTAGGCAACCTGAGCAGACATTCTTTTCCTGCATTTCTTCTCCTGAGGTTCCTACTGTATAAAACTCTCTTTACTTTATAACAGGATGGCAGGTTCTTCGCAGTTTCCCAAGGAGCGTGTGTGTATGTTCAATCTCACGGAAAAGAAATATTACTTGCTTTTATTATTCATTTATGAATCAAATATTGGTATTCCTTTGACAGTGTGAAGACTTTGGAATCAAATAAGTCATATTTTATCACACTATTTAAAGAAATTCACTGAAACAAAACAAAAAAGAGTAAAAACACCAAAATGCGAATGGTTGCTGTCTTTATGGTTTGAATTAGGTGGTTTTTTCCCTCTGCTTTATGTTTTTGCAATTTTTATCAAATTTTCAGCCAGTACATAATGCTTTTTCAAAAAAAATAAGTAAACATTTACGTGAAAAAGCACACACATACAAACGCAGAAAAGCATTAAAAATCACTGAGGTTTTCAGGCTTTTCTTTTTGTCCAGGAAGAGAAAGTTCCTTGGATCTGCTCGCTATGATTTGTGCTAACACAATGCAGAACAAAGCTTTCCCACCAGCACGTATTCCAGAGAGTAGATACATATTGGAATAATTTTGCATCCTGTTCTCTGTAGAAGATCAAGTAAATGAATAGAAGCTAACCCCCAAGTGAAAACGGCTGTCGGGAACCCTTGTGTGTTGTAATATAATACAGATGCTGGTCTATTTCTAATGTAAATGCCAAGCGTACATTGATATAATGGGACAACATGCTTTATTTTAAATGTGCATGTGTTTCATATTGGCATATCAAAAAATCCATCAGCAATTTAGTTGTAGTATTTCATACTTCATAAACATAGTAAATATTCAGGTAAAATAAATATTCTTTATCCCAGCTGATACAAGGACAGTGCAACTTCATATGTTCAGCCTCTATTCATCTGAATTTATTCTATGTTCAGAACTTTTTACATTCCTGGCCAAAATGTAGTGAAGATTAATAAACAGACATTCAAATATTTTAATGTATTTTTAATCTGGATGTTTTAACCCAAATGTATATTAATTTCTCATGTGCTTGTAGTATAATGAGGATGTACTCTCCATTTCTTAGAGTAGAAAATTTAAAATGGTGCATTAGTTAACTTTTGATCAGAGTACATGCTAGAAAGTCTTCATGTAAAAGTCTCTCATAATCCTATTTTGTTCATTTTATTTATTCACTTGCAGAATTCATTGGAAATGGCAAGTATTTTTTATTATATTGAGATATTATATATGAAAATGTATCTTGGATTTAGAAACTAAAAAAGTGTTTTCCTCAGATACTTGAACGTTCATCTTATCTAGTCTTCCATTCTCTGTGCTAGTGTTTTATGTTTTAGCAGACATACTAATTTGCTTTAGCTACAAGTCTATTTTAGGATGGTAGAATCGTCTCTGCAGGTCTGGTTTTTACCTGCTCACTCTGCTAGAAAGAATTTGGAGCTGAGGTGCAGGGAGTAGGGGTGACATCAGTGGTGGACTGAGGAGACCAAGCTTTCTGGTCTCTGTGGGCCTCCGTGTCTCTGGCTGTAGAGCACAGGGAATTGGATAAATCTCTGAATTTTTTCCAGCTTCTAATATTCCATGAGCCTATGAAATAAAGCATCTGGTGAAACAAGGAAAGAGGGAAAGTAAAATAGTTTTTAAGGTTCGTCAAGTGAAATTTTTTAGATCACATACTACGTACTTCTTCCAGTACATAGGAATGAAATCACATTCATCTCCCAGAAGTTTTCAATTCAAACAGGTAAAGTGCTCGTTCTCTCTCTTTCTCTCTTTCTCTCTCTCCCTCCCCCCTCTCTTTCTCCATATAGATATGAATATAGATATACACATATCTTTGTATATTATTTTCTAATGTAATAATTTTAGTAAATGCAAAAGGAATGTTTGTTACTCAACATTTATACTTAAAAAACATCATATAAATTTTTTTTGGCAGTTTTTGTAAGGAAAGCAGAGTTGATTGTCACTTAAGCAGATCTTTTCAGGGGGAACAGGGGTAAGTAAGTATTCAGTGCCGGCCACCTTGCAAGGTGCCTTTCCCCACATAATTTCATGTATCTTTACAGCAAACAGAAGAGATTCTTTTTTTCTCTAGAAATGCAGCAACGGAAGCTTTTTCTGGTAGTTGGCAGAGTTCGGATGGGAAGAGGGATCTTCCTGGCTCCAAGGCCTGGACTCTGCACCACGCTGCTCTTTCCGAACAGAGTGGACTGAGGGGTCTGCCGTGTTTAGGCGCACACAGATAATTGGGTAACGAGATGCTGCAGAGAGGGCTCTTGTTTAAGGTGAGGGAGTATCTTTTAAGAATTTCATTCTGTGATCTGTCCTATATCCTATCTAATAAAGGGTAATATGCAAATTGACCATCACTCCAACACACAAGATGGCCGGCAGAGGAGGGCAGTTAGGGGTGATCAGGCCAAAGGGGTAGGGCAGTTGGGGGCGATCAGGCCTACAGGGGAGGACAGTTGGGGGGATCAGGCCAGCAGGGGAGGGCAGTTGCGGGTGATCGGGCTGGCAGGGGAGCAGTTAGGCATCGATCAGGCTGGCAGGGGAGTGGTTAGGTGTCGATCAAGCTGGCAGGGGAGTGGTTAGGGGATGATCAGGCAGGCAGGCAGGCGAGCTGTTGGGAGCCAGCAATCCCGGATTGTGAGAGGAATCCCAGATTGGAGAGTGTGGAGGCTGGGCTGAGGGACACATCCCCCCGCCCTGCACGAATTTTGTGCACCAAGCCTCTAGTTTCTAATAATAAGGGAATCTAATTCTTACAGGGTTTTTTACTCTAGGCAAATGCTTAATCCATAAGTATCCTATGAAGATAGGACTTAAAGAGTATACAAATATTTTACAAAATATTGTAGAAATAGAAATCAGGTGCTACTATGTTACTCCAAGTAACCCTTACTTTACTGAAATGGTCACAGAGCCTTTTCCTCTGTCTCTCTCACTCATGCTCCTCTCTGACTTACGTACTCCCTCTCTTGCTGTTCCACACCACCTCACCCAAGTGTGCCAAGCTGAAACCAACTGTTAATTTTCTGTGCATAGGAGAGATGAAAGCTGTACAAATGATTAAAAGTCACTCTTGTGTAAACACGTTATCTATGTGACTTAAATTCATTTCTTTTACTAATGCTACCAAATATTTTTTAATTGATTTGAGTGTTGTGTTCCTATTTTTTATTTACTCTCTTTCTCTGTTAATAAAAAGTAAAATGTCCAAAAAATGTAATGGAAATGAAATCAATCAATACTGGTTATCCAGTGGGTAAATGGCCCTTGAATAATTTAGTTAATTTGATATCTACTTGAGCAATTCATTGATTTACATATCTTTGTTAATCCTGAGTTATATAATCAATCATTTGGTTTCTCATGCTTGCTATTTATAGAATAATTCTGTGATTTCAAAGATAAAATCATTTTTATTTGGCAGTATCCCCTGTGACATTCCCTGGGCCAGCGAGGAAAACCTCTAATTAAATGCAGAACAACCAAGTTCATCCAAGTAATTCCAGCGCCAGTATTTAGATCATCATTGTCTACAAAGGATAGATAGCTTCTGGTTTTGGTCAAATCATCCAAGATTGAGTCTAACTTGGAACTTGTCACATTGACAGAGGGGAGTTGCTTGCTTGAATTGTCTACAGGGAAAACATTGTAATGTGATAAATATATCCAGAAATTGTAAAAGTACAGTGGAACCATAGTTGGTATTAAAACTACTTTATCATGTATTGTGTGTGCTTAGATATATCTGGTTTAATGCTTTAGGAAAGCATAAATGATACTCCAAAAGAATTAAAATATAGAGATAATTCCAAACTCTAAATTTCTGCATTTTTGTAGGCTTATCTTCTCCAAGTGTTTAAACTAGAAGAGTTTATAATAAGCAAACAGCCAATTCAACATAATTTGCATTCCTATATCTTTTTACACTCAATGTTAAACATTCTGATTCTTTAAAAGCAAAGTGGCTTTTTAAAATGGCTCTACCTAAAGGCTAAAAGTGGCTTTTAAAAATGGCTTGTGAAAATGGTTTTACCTAAAGGCTAAAGAATAAAATAGATCCTACAAAGAAGAGGAAGATAAATATCTGAAAAATTGAAAAATGTTAAATGTAGATCTGTGTTTAGTGTTTGCATTTCTGGATTTAATAGAATTATTGTTCATTTCCCTTCCTTCCTTCCTTCCTTTCTTTTTTTTTTCTTTTTTCTTTTTTTAACAATCTGAAAAGTAACCATGGAGGATTTCAGTAAAAACCCTCAAACAGTTAACACTGTCCCATGAAATTCTGGGGTATGGAAAATTTTCAACTAGATTTTAATTTTCAATAACAAGTTAAATCTCCCGTCATACTCCACAACAATCAATCTTTAGCATTTGAGTGGTGAGATGATATAATTCTGGCATGGTATGTGTACTGTGGGTCTTCTATGCATATTTGGGGCATCAGAGAGTATTTTGCAACGTGAAACGCTGTGGGCTCAGACTGGAAATGAAGTCTGAACTGGTACTGTACCACTTTTTTAAATTAGAAAATAAATATGGTCATTTACATTAAAATAAGCTATTTTACATGCACATTTAAAGTTATCTGATTATTTTTCTTTTGCCTCTTTCTGTATCCTTTTAAACTATACTATTTATTACATTTTAAAGGCTTAGATTATAGATGGCATTTCAAAGTCTCTTTAGGCAGTAGTTCATAACTATGTTAATCATCACTCCAGTAATGGAGGCCCCATTTTTTTAAAACATAATTCAATCTTTCTATAATTTCTTTCCATTACTGGAAATTAATATCATTATAACTATATTATAACAATATTAGTTAATTTTTTAGAATCTTTAAAAGTACTGAATACAATTTGGAGCAGCTACCTACATGTATATGCATTTTCATTGCTTGTGTTAATGTAATAATTGAAGGCAAAAATATAATGGAAACTATGGTTTGCACAAGTGTTAAAAGGTTTACAAGAATAGAATTTTTATGAGAAAAGCATTAAAGGGATAGCATTATATTTGACTCATGCTGTTTGCTGTTCCTGGTTGAAAACAGCTTGTGTTGTGTGAACAAGAGATTGCAGTTATTATGGATGGCTTTTTAACAATGTGAATTGACTTTATTCTGTGTTTATAAGAGTGGGGGCATTCTCTTAGTTCTTGAAAGTGTGTGCTACAGCAGGCACTGGAGCGTCAGTGGTTTGTTTCTTATCCTTTACCATTAGGCTGCTCTCTTTAGTGGGGTAAATCCTTCTTTAATTTTTGTTGTCAACTATTTTAGAACACGGTGGCTGACTTGCAAGGAGTGTCTGGCAACTGCAATAACAATAACAACTATTTCCTTAAGGTTTGTTTTCTGGTGGGGAATAATGCTTATCTGTACCTTCCTGCTTTGTGTGTGAAATGGAATAGTCTCTGTCTTATTAACTAGCTTTATGCTCACAAGATCTTCTCTAGAGCTGTGTGTTGTGAATGTTGAATAATAGTTTGAAGGTTATTGTTTGAAAAATAACATTTAATTCTGAAACTTGAGTCTACATATCTTAGTTGCAGAACTGGACTCACTTCCTAATATTTAACCACGGATGTTTTTAACCCCTAACACTTTAAATATTTTGTAATTCATATTAAAGGGAAACAAAAGACATCTAAGAACAGAGCTGTATGATGTTGGTATAATACAGCATACACAGTAACTTATATTGTCTTTAAATCCAGCAATTTTCTTTTAATACAACGTTCTTAATTTTAAAAAAATACATACATCTTTAAATTATCATAGTACTTACTTACATGGTCTATATGGTGGACATGCCAAAATGTTTAAAAATGTGTTATACTATAACTAAAATAATTATCATTATCTTTAGCTGCCAGTAAGAGAGAGGAGGTTGAAAAGAGAAGTCAGTTTTTTTTCTTTTTCTGAAACATATAAAAAGATGCCCAACCATATAAGCAATGAGGATGTGGAAATGAAAAACCAAAATGAAATATGTCATACCTACCGAATTGATTTAAATGGGATATTTTACGTTTGGGCGAGAATGTGGGGTAAAAGGACCTCTTATTTTCTGCACATAGGAACATAAATTGGCCCAACAACTTTGAAAAACCTTTGGCCATTATCTAGTAAAGTGAATCAACAATTATATTTCTTACTAAACACATTATGCACATGAACTATAATAAATGTATAATATTGTTTTTAATATAGACAAAAATTGGGTACAACTGATATCTTTATCAACAAGAGAAAGGGTAAATATATTGTAGTAGAGTCATACAGAAGGGTAATATATAGAAGTTATTTCAACAAGCCACAACAACTGGTGGACTCTGAGGAGTGTACCATTAAAAACAAAAAGGCACAGAAGAATACAAACAATATGATTTCATTTATACAAAGTTTAAAATCTTGTAAAAAAAAATAACACGTTGTTTAGTTATAATAAAAATATTTTAAAAACTAGAAAAAATTAAGAGTGATAAAAGCAGATTTGCTCTGCAGGGTAAGTGTTTGAAATAGATTCAAGGAGACACATACATATAGAGGACCATAATTAAAATGCAGTGGTTCTGCTTCTGTTCTTGAACTAGGTTATTAGTTCATTGGTGGTGGTTACAACATTATTCATTATATTTTCTATACGTTACAAAGTACCCTGTATCAACTCAATATTTAATGAAAAAGGTTAAAATCTGCCATGTAGAATTGCTTCGATTTAGCAGTTATGTAGATATAAAAGGAATAGTTCCTGCTCTTCAAGGACTTACAAAATGACTTAAGAACCTGTGTCTCAAACTTGCCTCAATGTGAGGATCTCATGATACTTCTTTAAAATGGTAGATTTCTACCTTGAGCCTCAGACCTACTGAAACAGAATATGCATGATAGACAATCTAGGTTTATGGGAGTTTGTGGGGAAGGGGTTAGCTGCAATCAGAGCTGGAGTTGTCCAGTTTATAGATGCCAGGAAAACAGATATAAAGTCCTGATATTGCAGAGATTTGCAAAAAGGTATTGCTGCCAAGAACCACCAGATAGCCAAAATGAGAAAAGGAGTTGAATTATTCTCCCTCCAAGAAATTTGTAAGATTGATTTATTTTTATTATCAATTGATAGATAATCCATAGAAATACCATCAATGACATTTTTGTTGATTTTAGTTTATTGTTTAGTATATATTCTATAATATATATTATAAGATATATGTAATATATACTAATATATAATATATATACATATATATATATATATGTATAAAACTTCTGGTTCTGGTTCTATTTAATGACCTATTAGCATTTTTGTAATCATATGAGTCAGTTTTTATATGAACACACCATATTTTCCAAGATTTAATTAGTTGTATAATTATAGAATTATTAAAACAATGATAATATGTATCACTTTGGTCACTGTAGTTGTTCTCTTCTGCAGATAAAATTCAAGGAAATACAAATCTCTTAGTCTCTTCCCACAGTTCTTCTGTTGGCATTAGAACAAGTGCTTCATTGTTTCCTGGGAAAGAAAAATGAAACTCAAGGAAGGCTGCCAACTTGAAATTGCAGTGTGACATTTGAATTACAGAGGTCTACTTTGGTCTGTTGACTGTTCAGTTCTGGGTCTCAGTGGGAAAAATAGGGATCACTGGTTCCCTCCTCACATAGAATATATTTATCAGGGACTTAAAGACAATAACATTTATGTCTTAGTAAGTGGGTAACATTATTAAGAGGAATTGAACTGGGACTATTGAGTCATGGAAAAATATAGTTTATGCTTCCAAGAAGCTTGCTATTTTGCTGTGGAAACAATAAGTATATATGGTAAGGAATTTACATCATTTTCAAGGCAACCTGTCAAAAGACCAGATAACCATAGTGTAAAAGAATCATCACAACCAAAGACATCCAAAATAAAAGCATGAATTTGAGATTCATGGTTTCGAATTTGATTGCAAGAAGTTTTTTGTTATTTTTGTTTGTTTTCTATAATGGAGAAACCAGCTCAATATTGTATATATTCAAAGAAATAAAAAGGCCAGTTTACCTGCAGAGCAGAGTATATAGAAAGGAATAGTGGTTGGAAAGTCTTTGAAAAGGTAAATTGAATAATATTCTAGAAACTTGAAAAATCAGCTGAATTTCTAAATTTTTTTCCATTAAATAATAATTGGCAGAAATGCTCTTTGATCGGAACTATCTTTTCAAGTGTTTGTGTATGAACACAGCCTTGGAGATAGAGATAGTCTTTCCCTCTGGAGCAAGGGCAGTAATGCTGCCTGTTATAAAAGATGCAGGTTACCCATGCTCTGGGGTCCTCTCTTGTCATGTCTATGTGTATAGACATTATCTGGCCCTATTCTCATCACTCTTTGGAAAGTGTGGCTTGAGGTGTCAGCACAAAAATCATGATGGACTATATCAGCTAGTATGTAGAACGATTCTGGGTTAGAGGAAAGTTCTAACCTTGCTCAGACAATACTTACAGAGAAACACACCCACACTGAGCATGAAAGGAGGGAATTTACAAACGCCATGGCAAGGAGCCTGGTAAATCTTTAGAACTCTGGCTGGTTCACTGAAGAGATAATGGGGCAAGGCATATAATGCTAGTTAAGGAGAAATAGCAACAGTTGGGCTGCCTTTCAACTCAACCTCTATTGTAGTTTATTGTGCCAACTTTACATTAATTCAGACAGCAAAAGACCTCAGCTTTTTGTAGAGGGTCTTTGCTGCTCTAAGGGAATATTGGTCCTGTCAAGAAGATTTTCTTGAGATAGACAAACTCATGTGAGAAACCACTGGTGAGTATTTGGGTCCTAACTGGTTTATAATACTGGTGAAACTGTTCGAAATTCTGTCAGCCTCACCACCTTAGAAAACTTCACCATCCCTTATGTTCAAACCAGATTCATAATTAGACTCCAGATTGAGATTTCCTCTATAACAGAGTCCCTGTTGTGAGAGTCAAGGCTATGGCTTCTGAGTCAGACTCCCCAAATCTAAATAGATTGTGTTCATAATGATGACTCACCTTATATACTGCTTCAGGTGGACATTGGAAGTTTGGTTAAAACATGAGTAATCACTGCACTGCTCAAAACTGAAAACTACTGTACCTTATTACTGGCACAAAGCTGCTCTCTGCTCCCATGCCCCTTGATGCTTCCTCTCTCTATTCTGACTTTAAGGAGAAAGATGGCTACGGCTAGGCCTGAGATCTTTTTGTTCTCTAGAGAGACCAAATGCTACATGAACCCCTTGAATATGCTGGGGAACTTTGAGAGGGAGGCACCCAAACTTTATGGTTCTGTGAATACTGGTCTTGTAGATGTGGCCTTTGGGCAAATGCAAGGTAATGCTGTTAATGTTTCCACTGTTAGACATATAATGGAATTGATGTGTTATATGCCTGCACTTCTTTGTCCCATTAGTGCCAAAATGGAGATCTCCCATTCAGGGATTGGCACACGTAGAGCAGGAATAGTAGGACATATAGAGCACTCTCCCTGTTTTCTCCCATGTGGTCCAGAAACAATACAGAATCCCAGGAAGAGAAGGGGAAATCACAGCTTACTTAAATACTTAATAGCTGGCAGAACACCCGGCCTTTTCCCAACACAACACTACATGTCTGATACAAAAAAACAAACAAAATAAACAACAACCTCCCCCCCCAAAACACACACACACACGCACACACACACACACATGCACACACGAGGCGGCGGGGCAGCTATTAATCTTCTACTAAATTCTTATGGAAACTGAAATTGAAGCCTGATTCATGGGGCCATGTGACTCTCTTACCTGAATTATCTCAGTTTGAGATTTGTCAACTTGAACTCTCTGACCAGAAAGATTGGAAGGGCCCCTGCTTATCACATGGACAAGTTGCCATTCTGACCCAATAGCACCTTAGATTTACTTGAACAAGTATAGCTTCCAATTCAGGGAAACTTTACCTCTAGAAACAAGGCCTCTAGCTCAGTGAGGCCTTCAGTTCATAGAGGTTGCCTTAATGCATGGGCTTGGTTCACTGATGGTTCAGCTAAGCTGCCTACTACTTTCCAGCCTCAGCACCAGCTATGCTCACCCAGAAATGGATTTGGTCACTTTGTTCAATCAGTTGGCAGAATTGAAGGGCATTCTCATAATTCTGTCCTAAACTCCCCATGATAAACCTTGTTATATTTTTACTGACTCATGAAATATTATCAATGACTTAGCTGGTCACTTGGAAAATTACAGACTGACAGGTGAAAGTCTGGGATGGCAAACCATGGAAACAAACTGTGGCAATTGATCAAATTCTTTGGGCTATTCATGTAACTGTGTTGGTC